ACAGATAGCCTTCCCTAACCCCTCTTAATTCCAGCGCTTTCTCTCTTTAATTATTTCCTATTTTTCCTGTATATAGTTTGCTTTGTATATATTTGTTTGCATGTTGTCTCCCCCATTAGACTGTAAGCTCCTTAAGGGCAGAGATTGTCTTTTTGCCCCTTTTTGTATCCTTAGCAACTGGCACATAGCAGGCACTAAATAAATGCTTACTGATTGATATGGAAATAATTTACATAAAGATGATAACTGAATCCATGGGGGAGAATGAGAAAACCAAGTGAGAGGATATAGAGAGGAAAGAGAAGGGACCCCAAGACAGAGGCTTAGGGGACCCTCACAGTTAGCTTGTGTGACATGAAGAGCTAGCAAAGAAAATGATAAAGCAGCAGTTGGCATATAGGAGAACCAGGAAAGAGCAGTATCTTTAAAACCTAGAGAGGAAAAAGCATTAGAGAGGAGTATCCAAGAAAACAGGGCCAAATGTTGCAAGTTCAAGAAGGGCAAAGACTGAGAAAATGACATCATATTTAGCAATTAAGAGATCATTGTTGATTTTGCAAAGGGCAGTTTCAACTGAATTATGAAGTTTGAACCAAACTGCAGATGATTTAGAAGACTGTGAGAGGAGAGGAAGTAGAAGCACCTAATGTAGGCACCTTTCTCAAGATTAGCTAAGAAGGGGAGGAGAGATATAGGATGACAACTGTCAGTGATCAAGTGAAAGTTTCTAGTCTTCCCCCCAAAAGCAGCCTCCCTCCAGGCATGCATAGAAAGTTTCTTCCTACAATAAGGGATAATGTATTCGTGATTTTTTTATCTAAGAAGTTCAAGATATCAACCATAACTTGCATGTCATGTGGCATAAAAACATCATCAAGGTAACGAATGGCCAGAATATGAGGTAGTGGTAGTCTTTCATGTAGTGAGAATGACAGACAAAAGATGGAGTGCTTCAGAGCTGCTAACCAGCTAATACCAAGAGAACCAGAAGTTGGTCTGTACCAGAGGTGTCAAACACAAATACTAGTGAGTACAGCTGAACCAGATTAAAATGTTATTGGGAAAGTATTTAACAAATTAAATGAAAATACAATATAGATAGCATTGTACTTTAGAACTAAGTCAACATGTGGCCCACAGGGTTCCTTATCTACAGATTAGTATTTCCCATTCTAATTGGGTCTGACACCATTGGTCTACATGTTATTACATGATTTTTCTATAAGAATTTTCTATATTTTCTATATATTCTTGTGTTTTTTATAAGAATTGATGGAAAGAAATGGATAAACCTCAGGCAGTTCATTTTATTTTAGGACATTCTATTGGAAGTATTTTTTTTCCTGACATAAATTTCCCCCTGTCCATCACTACGTATGTCTGAGATAGACAACATAGATGGACAGTGGGTTGGCGTTAGAGTTAACAGGAAGAAAACAGTAGGCTAGATTTCTTTGAGTAAATTACAAAGCTGAGCATAGGTGACTAAACAGTGATTCTGAGATAGCTATTTCTAGCTTTGGAAGCAACTCGGTCAGCTGAAGAGGTTGGGATCTCCTGGATCTCCTGGGTCCTTCTGTCAGTGTGACCTAAACTGCAGGAGATGCCACCTGCAGCTACCTGGAGGAAGACAACTATGGAAAGGAGACAGAGTCTAACCCCTAGCTTGGTTTGCCATTAGTTATGGACTTGGAAGAATATAGTGCAGAGTAGAGTCCAAGGTAAAATGCCAGTTCTATGGTCTCATATAATGCTTCATGTTTGGCGGTTTTAATTATCAACCTCTTCAGAGAGTATAATAGTAACTCTAAATTCCTACTCTTTGTTTAAGTTAGATTGTCAATGCATGCTTATGAATCTTTTCTATTTTCAGCATTTCTTTCATGTAGGGAAATAAAAATAGTTGCCCTATAGGTCTATATTTTATTTACATTGTACCAAGTACTTTTCTGCACCCCTTTTAAGCAGATCTTAGATATGAACCCAAACCTAAACCTCGAATGATTTTTCCCTAGGGCTCTAGGGTAAGGACATAAAGATCCATAAAATGTTAAAAAAAAAAAGCCAGTCTGGTTCTTCAATTCAGAGACCAGGACTGCCCAGCAATGACAACTGTCCAGGTCTTTGTATGGTTTGGATCAGAGCTGACAGATCCTAATGGTGAAAGAAAAAAAGAGGGAGCTATCAAGTAAGCAGTGGTTTGAGATTCTAACATTTCTCTAAAAAGGCAGAATAATTCATACTAGAATGAAAATGACAAAAGAGGATAATAAATATATGAACCTGTCACTTAGAGCTGGAAAGATCCTTAGAGGTTATGCAGTCCAATCTCCTCATTCCAGAGATGGGCAAACAGAGTAGTAAAGAGACATCCCCAATGACAAAGAGCTAGCAGGTCGGATGAACCTGATTCCAAATCCAGCACTTTCATTTTCCCCTGACATTAAGGGTAAGACAGGAACTGGACCTGTGATTTCATTGATATGCTGAATTCTGGGATGTGGAAAATCCCTTTGCAAGTCAGCACTTGTGCTACAACATATGGTTGCCAGAGCACTAAGAAGCTGACTGATTTGCCTAGGGCCACACAGCCAGGATATGCCAGAGATGGGACTTGACACCAGATCTTCTTGACTCCAAGGCCAGCTTTCTATCTACTATACCTCAAGTGATTTACAGTCTAACTGGAGAGCCTGAATACCTAAAATGGAAGCACAGAATACTACTTATTCTTATTGAAGTATCAATTTAATGGATAATTAATTGAATAATAACAGTGTAGCTAGCATTTATTTAGTGTGTTAAGGTTTACAAAGCACTTTATATATGTTATCTCATTTGGTCCTCACAGCCTATGAAGCAGGTATTATTATTATCCCCAATAGCAGATACTAAGGTTGAGACATTAATTGACTTACCCCAGAGTCAAACAGTTATCAAGTTTTTGAGCCAGGAAAATTCAGATCTGACTCCAAGTCCAACATATTATCCACTGATTTGCTGACTACCTATTGCGGGTAAGGCCCTAATATGAAGTAAGTATTCAAGTACTTGGAAAAGGGTGACTAGAAAACAGCAACAAGTAATTAAATTATGAAAGTATTCCTGGCTACAAAAGCAATGAAAGCTGAAAAGAGCCAGGAGCAGGACTTGGTACCATATTGGTTGAAAGAGATGAAGGGAATGATTTTCAGTTCTCAGATCAAGAGCCTTGAGAAATGGGGAGATGGAGGTGGAATCAACAACAATGTAGATATGGCAAAGGTGCTACAGAAAAAAGAGAAGGGCTTCAATTTTCAATGTAAAATTAAAGATTTTGGGGGAGAATCCAAGTGGAAATTGTCATATGCAATTGGAAAGAATGAGATTGTTCTAAGCCAGACACTGGTCTGGAAGTTAACACATGGTGCTAGTTCAAACAGTGTCTTGCACACTTAATATTATGTCTGCTGAACTGAACAAAGCTGCTACACAAAGTGTTATACAAAGCTGTGTGGAAATGAGGAAGAATGTGGGACATGAAAAATGCAAATTTTAAAAAATGCATAAAAGATCAAGATGTAGGAAAAACTTTTATGTCTCGTCTGACCAATGTCAATAGTCATACAAGATGCACTAATAAGGCAGTCTTATTTTGCATGATTCTGTGCCATAAGGTATTTATCTTTTATGATTCCTTCTGGTTATCTATCAGTCCAGATGACTCTCGTTTCCACAAGAGACTACAAATATTTGTCCTGTCATTGGGTCTTGGCAAACATTCATCTGTCATTACCCTGACACCCAAAAGACCTCTTTCTATGAAGAGCCTATCCCTTCTCCGCAGAGAGGCATTTTGCATTCTTCTAGATGTTCTTTAGTCTAAACCACTAACTAGCCACTTCCTGATGAAACTGCCTTGTTTTCAGACCAGTCATTTGGGGTGCCTTCAACAGACTTCTGATGAAAGCATTCATCTTATAAGGGCACAGCAACAGATAGCTTTAAGTGGGAAGTTAGAACAATTTTCCAGTGAGAAGCCAAACACAATGCTATATGCACATATAAACTATTAGATTCATAAAAATCTGCAGAAGGTACATAAAAAACTGTTTAAAAAAAAACTTCTAGTACATTTTAATCTAGAAACATTACCTACCAACCAAGAGAAAAAAATGAGAGATTTACGTTTCCCTGCCTCAATTCTAAAATTCCACAATTATGGATAGGAAGTTTATTTTTATCATGTATTTCCTTTGTATTTCAAATGGTACATCTTTCTTTTAAAGAGCTCCAATTTCTTATCATATGTTTAAAGCTTATCTTTAATACCAATTTGGAACAAATCAATTCAAATTTTAAAATAACTTATTTAAATTCAAACCTTTCAATTCTTAAAAATACCATTCCAAATAATAATTTTTTAAAAGATTCTACCTATCATTATTTTTAATTTAAGATAACATTCTTGTAATGAGCTACTATTAGTAACATTTAGTAACAACAAAAAAAACAACAAAATTACTATTAACTTCTTGAGCACAAGAACTTACAGTAAGTGCCTAGACAGAAGGAGCTGTGCTAGGCAATGGGAATACCAAAGATAAAAAAGAATCCATCAAAGAGGTGACATTCCACTAGACGCTAAAAGCTAAAGATAAGGGCTAACATTTATATAGTACTTTGTAGTTTGCAAAGCCCTTTATATCCCATCTGCATCTCCCCAGTTTATTTCACAGATGGTCCCAGAAATGTCACTTCTTCCATCTACTCCAGCATCTTCCACATCAGGCCTAGTCCTCTGCAACCTAAACCTCTAAAATCCATGTCCCAAGAATCATGGGATTTGAGAGCTGAAGGTCAACATCAACTCAGTTAGTGATTATCCATCCATACCTACTGCTTTTGATTACACAGAGCATCCTTGAAATACACAGAGGAATGGTTGGATCACAGGAAACTTCTCATGAACCAAACCATTAAGCCGCATGAGGTTAGTGCAGATACCACAGAAACATTACCTTCATAATGTTCACTAAATCGGTTTGATAATAACGATCCTGGTGTGCATTAGCAGCAGCTAACGTGAGAAGATAGTCATTCCTGGCATGTGTAGCTTTGGAATTATACTCTGACCGCCGGGCTTTTAACTAAAATATAAATAAAAAACAAAAAAATTACAATTTGGTTCAGACCATGAAGCACACATAATGGTACAAGTTTCACCCATCTCTATCAGAGGCCCCACCAAGAAAAAGCAGTGAGGTGAATAACAATGATCCTTTTCATTCTTTCTCCCCCATCCTCCTACTTTCTGTATCTAAGCTATGAAGATCTCACAGAAGAAGCCATATTTGTTACATGTCTGCAAACAATTACCAAGTATTGTTGATCAATTTCAAATGAGTAAGAGCAGCAGTACACTATCAAGTACTGTGAGATCCAAAGATTGCCAAAGGACATTCACATATATACTCACATTTTCAAATGGAAAAATAAAGGCACAGAGATTAAATAACTTTTTTTATACACACACACAATGATATGTATATCACTCCATACTTGTACTCTAACATGTACTAGAGTTAGAAGTCAAATTAACAAATTAGCAATGCCCCCAGTGTTATCAGTATCTTCCAACTTGTAAACAATTATGTTTATATATTCAAACGTTTATTAAGGTGTATGCTCTGTTCTGGGGCCTGTGCTGCACTGTTCCAGGTGCTTACATGAAGTTCAATAGAGACAAGATGTGTGGAAAATTTAATACAAATTAGAATATGAAGTGCTTAAGAAAAGCATAAAATACTATAAGATCAAATGAGGTCAGGCCACATCCATGTAATAAGGCTCAATTCTGGACATCATAATTGAGGAAGGAAACTAACAAACTGGAACACATCTATAGAAGAGCAACCAGACTGAGGGTATACTGGAGGGGAAGGGATCAAAGACTATGCCATTTAAAGATATTTCTAAGGAGCTAGGTATATTTAGTCTATGAAAGAGAAGATTAGGAAGGCATGACTGCCGTCTTCAAATATTTCAAGGATTCTCTCGGGGAAGAGATACTTTTTCTGCTTGGCCATAAAGGACAACACTAAGACCAAGTAGGGTGGGGAGAAGTAAGAGTTTTGCAGAGTTGTTCACAAATAGAACAGACTGCCTTGGTTCCCTATCACTGGAGGTCTTCAAGCAGAGGCTAACACTTAAGCAGAAATATTATAGCTGAGATTAGAGAGCAGGAGATTAGTTTAGATGACCTCTGAGATCACTCACTGTTCTACATGTCTAACATAAGGAATCACAGAATTTCTGAGTTAAAAGAGCCTCAGTGGCCACCAATCCCTTTCATACTTGAGAAAGAAATCCTCTACAACTTATTCATCACGTCAACATCCAGAGAAGAGGCCTCAACTATTTCCCAAGGGAACCCATGTCACTTGGAATGTCCCTATTGCTTAGGAAGCTTTTCTTTACATCACTCCTAAGCTTGTCTCTTTGTCTCTTCTACCTGCTGCTCCTTGTTCTGCCTTCTGAGATCACAGAGAGCAAGGCCCTTCCCCATCATGGATGGTCTGCTCTGGATGTTCTCTTGCATGCCAATGTCCTACTTACAGTGTGGTGCCCAGAACTGACCCAAAATTTCTCATGTTGCCTGCCCAGAGTACAGTACAGTAGGACTGTCCTCTCCTTATTTCCAAAGGCTCTTGCTTGTTCCCTTCTTATTCTCAGAGGTGACAAGGCTAATCAACACAGCTGAAGCCCACCTTTGCTTCTCGGCTGCCATATCATCACACTATTAGCACTAATTGAATATGAAGTTCCCTGAAACTTTCAGGCCTTCTTTCAAATGAACTGTTGCCTAGCCCTGTGTCTCCCATTCTTGTACTCATGAAGCTGATTTTTTGAACCTATCTCTAAAATATTATACTTATCCCTAATAAATTTAATTCCATTATTTTCAGCCTAAGACACTTGCCTGTCAAGATTCTTTTAGATTTTGATTTGATCAGCTAGTGTGTTAGCCATCCCTTCTATTTGGTGTTATTTACCAATGTGCTGCTCATACCATCACTGCCCTTACTAAAGTCATTGATAAAAAATGTTAAATAGCATAGGACCAAGCAGAGATCCCTGTGGTGCTCCACTGGAGACCTCCTGCCAAGCTGAAAACAAACCAGTTCTAATCCCTCTATAGCTATTATCTAGTTCACCAATCTTCATCTTTTCAATGAAAATTCCATGAGAATCAAACACTTTGTTACAATACCTATAACCTCAGCATTACTCTTTTCCCCTAATTTAGTAAATGTGTTAAAAAATCAGATTTTTTCCATTCTTACGGTTCTCATAAGAGAGAAATCACTTTGGACTGGATCAGGTAGTTAACATCAGGCTCCTGACCTCACTAATCTTACATACCTGGATTTAAGTCTGGAAAGATAAACTCTTTTCCCTGTAACCCTGGCCAATCTACTCTAGATGTGGGCCAAAGACCATCAAGAGGTAGCATAGCATAGTAGACAGAACATTAAATTTGGAGTCAAGAAGATCTGGGTTTGATCCCACTTCAGAGACTGACTAGAAATGTAGTCACTTCTCCACTCAGCTTCAGTTCCTTCATCTGTAAAATGAGGGAGTTGGCCTTGAGGACCTCTAAGGTCCTCTCTAGCTCTAAATGTATAGGCAAAAACAAAGCTCTGAACAGGTAGGAGTGAACTGAACTTTAATGCAAACACAGCCAAACAAAGTTTTCATCAGAAACCCCAGGAAAGTTTGGGTCCTTTGAGCCTACTTTGGGTCCGAACCATTCTTGGGCAAGTATATCATTGTTCCAACAGTGCTAAGAGTCAGGCGCAGGAGGCTTCTAAATCCCTGAGTACTGGGGATGAGGTACTTCCAGAGTCTGGGTCTTTTTGATGGACAAAAGGCCTAATCACTAAATTTCTAATATCTCTATAGAACTTTCCAATTGGTAAAAAAGTTTACAGAAGCTCACCTTTACACTTGCCTTTTGTAAACTGATTCTTGACTGGAAAAGACTAAGTTTGGACCTATAGGAAAAATCAACAGAAAAGATTAGTATTTTTATGTATTTGTTAAAATGTGGAAAAAAGAACTCAAAAGAGAAAATCACAAATTATTTTCCTTTAAAATCAACACATTCTAGAAATGGATTCTTTTTTTTAATCAATAGGAAATAATATATATGTATGTATGTTTGTTTATATAACCATGCTGAGACATATATTCCAAAACTCTTATGTAGATATTCATACTGTCTAAAAACTTTCTTTGTCAGGTCTTAAGTCCCACCTATTAGCAACAATGCTCCTAATAAATAGCAACTCACCTTTCTATAGGGCAAAGGGCTAACCAGTGTGTTTAAAAATACTTGCCTCACTCTGTGAGGTGGATTGGATATATATAATAAATGCACATATATGTCCAAACTCTGACACCCTCTACACACACATATGTATTTTATTCTGTTAGTTCAAAACACAGTGAGGATTCAGTATTTTTTTTAAAATCTCAGAAAATTATCTTAGACCTAAAGGAAAATAGCAAAAGAATAATTTATAAAAGACCATTCAAGTGTACATACAACAAGACTCTTTAAAACAGAAGTCTGGTGAATAGAGCTGGTGGTTCATTTGAGAATTTCTAGAACCACATGGCTGCAAGAATTTCAGTTCCATTTTGTCTTTTCCAGTTTGATGTCTTAGTACTAATTCTTGGTCTTCTTACCTCCCCCAGCAAGCCTAAAGAAAAAGGCACCAGCAGCAGTAGCCTGAGTAACAGATCAAACAGTGAAGATGACTTTCAATTTGTGAACTATCTTAGGGCACTGCTCTGGAAAAGTTCTGCTTTTCTTATTTGAGTGTAACTTGGCTTGGTTCTTTCAGCTCAGCCCACATATTTCTAATAGCTTGCCCATCCCACTTTGAAGAGCCACCAACAGTTTCCCTATTTGTAGGCCTAGCATGCTATATTCTGGTTCCAGTTATTATTACGTAATAACAACAGTGATGATGACAGCAGTTTGAGTTTTGGCACAACTGCATAGTCACACTTTCATCACATAACAACCTTCCAGGACCCCTCCAGGCATTAATTTGTGACATATTCATCACTGAGTTCTTTGTCTCACAATTCCTAATGACTAGGAATTCATTTATATAAGTACAATGTCCTTCCTCCTCTACCTTTCAGATTTTTGAAATTTTCCCCATCTTCTAAAACTCAACTGAAATGCTACCTCCTTTATGAGACATTCCTTGATCTACACTGGAAATCACCTTTCCCTCCAGATCTCATATAACAACACATGGTTATCTCCTGAACATACATACTATGTATTATTATGCCTTATGGTTATCTGCTCATGGGTCTCAATATACGTTGGTGAAGTGATGGGATCACAGATCCATTTAAATTCTGAAGCATCTGTGCTGTCCTAATGCTTTTAGCAAACAATAGGCTCTAAGAGAGCTGAGGTTGTATGGACCTCTCTCAGCCCCGAACTTGTTAGGGCTGTTGTGAGGATCAAATGAGATAATATTTGTAAAGTTCTTAGCACAGTGCCTGGCACAGAGTAGGTGTTAATAAATGCTCGTATCCTTCCCTTCCCCTACCATGCAGACTACTCTTCAAAAAATACAAAAAGGCTTCCTAGTTATTACATCAAGAGGGCTCTCCATACTCTCTTATGATGGACATGTTCTGAAATAAGAGGATTCATTATGAGCATCTTTAGAATAGTAAAGAACAAACACTATTACTGATGCAGAGTCCAACTTTTTTTTTGTATTTCTGGAAAAAATATGTGATTTGGTACCTTCGTAACCCAAGGTTGTCTCCTCCTTTAGGCTTTAGCTGAGATTTTACCTGGGATCAACACATGGAAGGAACTAACATGAACTGAGAGGTAAAAGAATCCAGGGCCAGCTCTGCTTCTGCCTCCTACCTGCTATAGGACTTCTGGAAACTCCTTTACCCTACTGAAGCCTTAGTATGTCCCTCTATAAAAAGAGAATGCTGAGACTTGTCTGTTTCATCAGGTTATTGCGAGGACCTATTAACAATGCTACAATTCTTCAAGGATCTGGGAGTCTCTAAGTGTGGGTATTACCTCCCACTAATGCAAATGGCAACCTCTCTACAAGCTCTGCCTGAAACTGAAAGAAGAAAACTTAGCCTATAGGAAATGACATTTCCCCAATATTATATAGGGCTAGAAACTAGGCATATTCTGAATAGAACAGTTTCTGAGATTACTACAGGACATACCCACCAGACTGCCTTTGTATGTAGAGATTGACAATTATAATAAGCCAGCATATATATATGCTAATTGACTCAATGACATAATTACATACATGTTTTATTATAAATACTTAGACTGTCTGTTATAATTGTGTGTGTGTATGTCTGTATGTATCTCACACACACACACACACACACCCCTCTGAGGAAACACAGAAAAGCAAAAAACAGTTCCTGCCTTCAAGGAGCTTACATTCTAAGGGGGAAGACAACCTACAAACAAGACTAAAGGTAGTCTCAAAGCAAAGGCATTAAATCAAAGAGGGCTGAGAAAGATTTCTTGCAGAAGGCGAGACTTTGGCTGGAACTTGTAGGACACCAGGAAAGTCAGGAGGTGGAAATGAGGAGAAAGAGTGTTCTAGGCATGGAGGACAGCCAGAGAAAATACCTGGAGTTAGGAGATGGAATGTCTTCTGTGAGGAACAGCCAAGAAGCCAGTTTCATTGGATTACAGAGTACATGGAGGGGACTAAGGTATAAGAAGGCTTGGAAAGATAGGAAGGGGTAAGGTTATAAAGGGCTTTGAAAGCCAAACAAAGGATTTTATATGTGATCCTGCAGGTAACAGGAAACCATTGGAGTTTACTGAATAGAGGTGATGTGGTCAGACCTACATTTTGGGAGGACTGATTTGGAAACTGAATAGAAGACAGACTAGGGTAGGAAATAAACTGAGGCAAGGAGACCAACCAGCAGGCTTCTGCAATAGTCTAAGAATGAGGTAACGAGGGCCTAAACCAAGGCAAAAGTAAGCCAGCAAGAAGCAAGTTGGGTGTAGATGTGGTTGTCCCTAAGTACAACTGAAAACCACTGCCTCAAGACCCCCTCCTTATACGTGTGTATAGATACATGTGTGTACATACGTATCTATACATACATGATACTAATATCTATTAATTCTCTATAGAATATTATTTCTCTTTCAATATAATTAACTTCAAACTGTCTTCATATGTCATGATACGAAAGGCGTGTTAAACCAAGACTCAACAATCTTAGTTTCAATTTTTGTGGAAATAATGCCATTAGTTAATAAAAATGAGATCTGGGCTTTCAGTTGGCTATAAGTGATCCCCCAAGATTCAATAGTTATTACAGCCATCCCTCAACATTTGTAGGGTTAGTGGCACAGGACCCCACAAACGTGAAAAACTGCGAATAACTTACTCCAAACCTTTATTTTTTATAATTTTGATCATATACATGTTAGAGAACATGTAGGAAAACTGGAACATTAATGCATTGTTGGTGGAGGTGTGAACTGATCCAACCATTTTAGAGAATAATTTGGAACAATTCCCAAAGGGCAAAAAAAAGCGCATACCCTTTGACCCAGCAATAGCACTTCTAGGGCTGTATCCCAAAGAGATCATGCAAATGCGAAAAAGACCCACATGTACAAAAATATTCATAGCAGCTCTTTTTGTGGTGGCCAGGAATTAGAAAGTGAGGGGATGCCCATCAATTGGGGAATGGCTGAACAGGTTGTGGTATATGAATGTAATGGAATACTATTGTGCTATAAGAAATGATGAGCAAGTAGACTTCAGAAAAATTTGGAAAGATGGACTGATGCTGAGTGAAGTAGGCAGAACCAGAATGTTGTACACAGTAACTCTGACAGACTTAGCCCTTCTCAGAAATGCAAGCCTCTAAGACATCTCCAAAAGGTCTCATGATGGAAAATGCTATCCACATCCAAAGAAAGAACTATGGAGTTTGAATGCAGATTGAAGCAAAGTATTTGCTCTTTTTTTTCCTTCTGTTTTGCTTTTGTTTCCTCTTTCTTGTGGTTCCTCCTATTGGTTCTAATTCTTCCTTACAACATGACTAATGTGAAAATATGTTTAATAGGAATGTATATGTAAAACCTATATCAGACTGCTCACCGTGTTGGGGAGAAAGAGGGAGAGGGAAGGGGAGAAAAACTTTAAACTCAAAAGTTTATGGAAGTGATTGTTGATAAATCAAAATAAATTAATAAAAATTTAAAAAATAATTTTGATCATATTAACATAAAAAACAAGGAAAATAACATACTGCACCCATAAAAAAGTTGCAGTTTCTATGTGAGAGAGATTAGTATCTCACACAATATGCAGAGTCTTTGTAGCCCCTAGTGTAGTTGCAGCAACTGCTTCAGATTTCCTTCTCCTTGAAAAGCACAAGATACAATGATTACCATTATAGAAAATCATGTGACTGAGTCTAGATGGTGGAGAGACAAAAAGGAGGCATTTCCAAAGAGGGTATGTAGCCCATAGTTCATCAGTGCAATGAAACTTTTAACAAAATTAACTGTTCATAATAAATTTATGTATGCATACTTATATTAGTAAATGATAAAACAGATTAATAATATACAGTATTTTTGCATTTATGACTTACTATATTTTTTTTAGATCTCTCTACAAAAACACATTGTTTGTGATTTTGCTTGGTATGCCACAAATATTCAAGAGTTCTTATTTAATTATCAAAGGCCAACCTGTGAACAACCAAAACCATGAATGCCAAACACGCAAATATTAAGGGATGACTATATATGATTTTGCTGAAACATAATTTGGAGAGGTGGACTGAGCACAGACCTGAAATTTCCCTGGTATGGGGAGTTCCCAGTGTGGAAACTCCCTCTATTTATGTAGACCAGGAACTTTTTAGTAACTTTAGAATACTGACTGGGGACAATGAGAGGTTAAATGACTTGTGACCATTGTAAGGCAGCCAGTATATCAATGTCAGGACTTGAATTTGGGTCTTCCTGACTACAAGGTCAGCCCTCTCTATACACTATGCCACTTTTCCTCTGAATATTTTCAATATTTATTTCAAATAAGGAGATGCCTTAGTAAATATCTCTCTTGCATACTGCCCATTTGAAGAATGTCAGTCCAAAAGGAAATGGCATTATAAAAGTCCAAGACAAGTATTGAAACAGAAAAGCAAACCTCTATCTTATAATAAAAAGTCGGCAACAAAACCTTCAACAATGACATGGATTTGCACAAGTTTTTCAGAAACACATACTTGGCCTCAATGTCGGCTTTTTCTCGGACTGCGTGAGCCATCTGTTCTGTCTCAAAGTACTTCTTTTTGCCTTTAGCTAAATCTTTCACTGTCTCTTGTAACTCGGTTTGGATCTTTGTCAACTGGTCCACACACTGCAAAAGAGAATGTGAAATAATCAGTATTTTAGCAGTCAACTTCAAACAAAATGAGCTTTCTCTGGGCACAGTGCCTCCAAGTCAGAGCTGTGAAACTACACTAGTCTCTTTGCTTTAGTCTTCTGAACAGCCTAAACACAACCTACAACCCCAGCATATCTCTAGCATGTACAGTCTACTCATATTCCTTGATTTTTAGGGATGGAAAGGACTTCAGGGATTACCCTAGTCAAATCTCCTCATTTACAGATAAGGAAACTGGGCCCAGAGTTGAAGTGATTTGGCCAAGGTCTTTGAGCTAGTTAGGGACAAAGCTGGAAGTCAAGCCCAAATCTCCCAACTCCACTATACTCTACTGTGCTACTGTAGTCAATACTTCTGGCTTTCCTTAAAGAAGAGTGCCTGTCTTCTCTACTCTGACAAGTAGAAGAAGATGAGAGCTGTCAGCAACCGACAGACACTACACTAAAGCTGGCAAGAGATCAGCAACCATGGGACCCTGTTCCTTTTTAAATGCCTACAATGCCAGAAGGATGCAGTTAAAGAATGGCAGCAAGTATTTCAGCTGTTCAGTCTCCCTCCCTCTGTGACTGTCTTTGTCCCTCCCTCTCTCTGTCCCTCTGTCTCCTGTCCTGTCTCTCCTTATCTTTCCATTTTTACACTATACCCCAGGTTCCCAATTAGATGCCTAAGAAAAATAATTAATAATTCAGACTAGACAAAAGGAAAGGGGTGGCACAAGAGAAAGATCACTGGACCTGAGGCCAGAGGATCTAGACTCACAGAATCTGGCAAAACTGTGTAACCTTGACAAATCATGTGACCTTTCTAGGACTCAAGAGTGCTCATTTTTAAAATAAGGGGGCTCAATTTCTCACAATTAAAAGCCATAGGACAAAGAACACTGAACTTACAGGCAGGAAACCTAGGTTTAAATGATTACCCATAGGCTTTTATTCATACCGCCCTCCCCCCCATTTCTCAACTAATTCTGTTGTCCTCTCTTTATCTTCTTTCAGAAATACAAAATATTAGAAATAGAAGAGTCCTTAGTCATTCTCTAGTTCAAGTCCTTCATTTTATAGATGAATCACCTGGGGCCCGAGTCATTATACTAGTTATTTCCTGGTTTTATGTAGTTTCTTTTAATCTCCCACCATCTACCAAAAACCTAATTTGTGAATAAAAAGAAAATTCTACACATGTATGTATACACACATATATGGAAGACTGATGAAGTAGAAAGGATTTGGTACACGTAGTCAGAAGGACTAGAGGGTCGAACAACATCAATGACACTTGTTATGTGCATATACTTAGAGAAGCCTCTGAGCCTCACTTTTCCTTTCTATAAAAAGAAAAGTCTAGACAAGAAGGTATTTAAGATCATTCTAGATTCTAAATCCTATAATACTAGATTTTTATTTCTGAATATTATTTTTAGAGTTTAATTTTTAATTTTTATTTTTAGCTCCAAATTCTCTCCCTCCCTCTACCGCCCCATTTGAGAAGGCAAAAATTACAGCCATTATACATATTAATTATTTCCACATTAGCCATGTTGTGAAAAGGAAAAACAAAAAAAAAAAAGTAAGTGAAAGAAAACATGCTTCAATCGGCAGTTGGGGTTCATTCCTTCTTTCTCTGGAGGTGCACAGCATTCTTCATCATGAGTTTACCTTTCAGATCTATGGGTAAGAGAAGAGTTTATGACCAAACAAAAGATAGAGAAGATTACAGAAGGCAAAATGGATAATTTTGATTACAAGACATTAAAAAAGTTCTGCGCAAACAAAACCAGTGCAGCCAAAATTAGAAGGAAAGCAAGAAACTGGGGGGTTGGGGGGTAAGGAATTTCAGTTTACTGGCTGTCACAAATCACTGTATTGATCAAAGTAGCTAAGTCTTTCACGGTTGATTTTCATTAAAATACTGCTGTGTACAATGACCTCCTCGTTCTGCTTACTTCACTTTGAATGAATCAGCTCAAAAGTCTTCCCAGGTTTTTCTGAAACCATCCCCGTCTTCCCCTATCCCTGCCCCATTTCATCATTTCTTACAGCAAAAGAATATTCCATCACAATCATATACCACAACTTGTTCAGCACCAACTCAGTTTCTAACTTTTTGCCAACATAAAAAAGAGCTGCTGAAATATTTTGTACATATGAGTCCTTTTCCCTTTTCTTTAATCTCTTTGGGGGTACAGAACTAGAGGGCATGTACAGCTTTATAGCCCTTTGGACACAGTTCCAAATTGCTCTCCAGAATGGTCATCACACCAGTTCACAATTCCACCAACAGTGCATTAGTGTCTCAATTTTTACACGTCCCCTCTACTATCTGTCATTTTCTTTTTCTGTCATGTTAATTGCATTTCTCTTATTAGTGATTTGAAGCATTTTTTCATGTGGCTGTTGATATCTTTGATTTCCTCTTCTAAAAAATGACTGTTCATATCCTTTATCTATTTATCAATTGGTGAATGATTTGTATTCTTATAAACTTGACTTGGTTCTCTATATATTAAGAAATGAAGTCTTTATCAGGGACATTTGCTGTAAAAATTGTTTCCCAGCTTTCTGCTTTCCTTCCAATCTTGGCTGCATGGGTTTTGTTTATGCAAAACCTTTTTTACTTAATATAATCAAAATTATACATTTTACTTCCCATGATCCTCTCTATCGTTTAATCATAAACTCTTCTGTTATCCAAAGATCTGAAAGATAATTTTTCCATGCTCATCTAATTTGCTTATGATATCACTCTTTTATGTCCACATTATGTTATCTCTTAGTATATCTTTTTTATATAATTGTTTCTTTTATATGTATCAGTCTGAAATTATTCAACAATTAGCAAGCATTATTATGTGCCTACTGTGCTGGGGACTAAGCACACAAAGACAAGAATAACACAGGTCCTGCCCTCAAGGAGCTTACATTTCATTAGGGAGAAAATATATAAACATATAAGTAAATACACAATAAAAATAAGGTAATTTTGAAGGTCAAGGGAAGGATTCTAAGACATAGAGGTAAGAAAGGATAGGCAGTATAAATGTATGGAAAGAGGAGATGAAATGTTGTATGTAAGGAATAGCAAGAACACCAGTTTTGATGGACCATAGCTAGACCATGAAGCAGAGTGAAGTATAATAAAGTTAGAAAAGGTAAATTGAAGGAGGCAGCTAGGTTGCACAGTGGTTAGGGCACTGGCCTGGAAGTCAGGAGGACCTGAGTTCAAATCCAGCCTCAGACACTTGACACTAGCTGTGTGATTCTGGGCAAGTCACTTGACCTCAACTGCCTCACCAAAAAAGCTCCCCTCCCCCCAAAAATAGGTAAATTGAAGAAAAACTGTAAAGCCTTTAAATAAATGCTAAACAGAGGAGTCTATATTTAATCCAAAATGTAAAAAGAGTGGACTTTATACTGAACAAGGAAGTGACATGATCAAATGGGTACGGTAGAAAAACCAATTGGGCAGCTGTGTAGATGGACTGGAGAGGGGAGAGCCAGAAGATAAAGGGACAATGGTGGGGTGGATTCAGTGGGGAGTCTGGCCAAAATACCTACACAAAAGGAGAAGAGAAATGCTGTTGAGGTTGAGATCCCAGCCTCTATTTCTATATTTAAGGGAAGCAAATCATCTTCCACAGGTGCCATCTCTGCTGAAAACCATCCTACTCCATGGAGCCTTTCTTGATTTCTCCTCCTCCCAACTAGAAGTCTTCTTCTTCTTTCTCAATTTTCCTGGAGCACCTGATCTAAAGATCTTTTCTGTCCCACCACATTTTGCCTTGTATTATAATCATTTGTGTAAATATCATAAATCTTATAAGTGCCTTACAGGCAGGATGTGTATTACCCCTCCCCTCCCCCTGGGAAGCAAGCAGGATATTGTATATAATAGTCTGTTAACAAGCATTTATTACCATGTTTCAAGCACTGTGCAAAGCACTGAGAACATAAAGGTTAAAAAACAAAAACAGTTCCTGCTCTCAAGAAGCATTCATTCTAATAAGAAAGACAATGTATAAATATCACATACATGTATAGTAATTACTTAATAAATATCTGCTGAACTTCAGGATGCCTGCCAGGGACTCCAAGGTGTTACAGACTTGAATATCTATCATGATATGTGAGCAGTGAAAGAGTAGACCTAAGTAGGTTTCAGATCTCAAGATGACTGGTGGGCATGGCAGGCAGGGTAGTTTAGGTGCCAGCTTGAGGATTTCAGTGTATGCTGAAGTCTTATAGGCTCCAGGCTGAATGAGCTTTATCTTCATATCCATATCCTGGCTGAACACTATCTGGGAACTAGTCATTCATTCATTTCATTAATTAATTTGTTTTACACAAGAAGCACAGGCTAAAGTGAATTTCCTGGCAATTCAAGTCTTTAAACAGATTCTATAAAAGTCTCATCAGAAAAATTGCATCTATGTAGAAGTTACCAAGATACGGTTTATAAACAGAAGAGCTCTCCTGTGCAGTCAGCTTTCCCTTCCTTTCCCTCAGAGTAAAGTCACAACCAAGTACTCTCCATCATTAAAGCAAACTATAGTGTTGGCTTCTTATTGGACATTTAGAGCATTTTGAAAAAGCATAATCTACCAATTTATAAAGGAGAAATACCCATTGATCAATTTTTGCCCCGTTCCCAGAATGGGGTGCACCCCCCAAGAAATATCTCCAACTGTTAAAGTCCTTCCTTCAAGGTCTAGTTCCTCTATGAAGCCTTCTCAGCTCCATGCCCAAAGATGAAAGTGATCCTTGACTTCTACCTTAATCTCTTTTGTATCATACTTATTTGTATGTTCATCTACCCCCTCAATGGATTCTAAATTTTAGTACATTTCCTTTTAAATAGATAGTTGCCATAATCTAATGCCTATTTCTCACCTTCCTTTCTTAAAGCCTTTACACATGACAGTTAAAACTCATTTTTTAAATTTCTGTGTCTTTTAAAATAATTTTTATTAATAAGTT